GCAGACTTTCGTGTTCTCGATTTGACGTCACATTACCCACTAGAGCCATTCCTCTTTAAACTCGGTCGTGGGGCAAGATGGCGGCCGATTTTCCGTATTTTGACTGGGCATAGAAAATTGAAGATTTGAGCAAATAAAAACATTTTTGCGCAGAAATACTCAAAAAAATAAGCTTACTTCGTTAAGCGAAAAAAATTTTTTGGTTGTAGGTGCACTTTAATGGAACAACTATTGACGCAATGAACAGACACCTTCAGTAAATGAATGGCAAAAAGTGTAATACGGGGTAAGCGCATAATACGGTGCCACTTAATACAGGCTAAACTGTAGTTTGACTGTCTACATCAAGACCAGATATGAAAGTGGACATCATTTTATGTAGAAAGGAAATGTTAGCAAAATCACATTTCTTTATCATCTCAAACCTCAAGCTAATGGCCTGGGACCAATTTGAACAATCATTAAAGACCAGCTGGCTCCTTGTTTTTTTCCCTTTTCCTCTGAATAAAGATATTTCGACTTCTTGTTTGGGTTTTGCGACACTCGATCGAAATGTGTCTAACTATGGATGAGACTGAGTTTAACGCATAAATACCTAAAAAATGGCGACGAAATTACAACTTTACCATGGTTAAAAAAAATCGCCATATCAAGAAATGAGATGGTCGACATGACATGCAATGAGAAATTAAATATTAAAGACTAACTTATGACGACTTAATTTCGAAATGCAAAGAGTGCTTGTTCAACGAAACGGTACAAGCTGTCGGATTACATCGCTCAGATAGCACTTTTTTGAAATACTTGTCAAAACTTGTCAAAAAGCGGGCTTTCTTTCGTGTAGGCGACGTAAGTTTGCTAGCTTACTGTCAAGAAAAAGGAAGAAAGAGGTCTGTTAAGATTACTTATTATTTTGTTCCCCCTTGAACGTGATACCAAGTACACTTCAAAGAGCGGAGATAAATTGGAATTTAAAGGTAAGAAACGAGTAGCTGGATCTGAGAAGTAGGAGGAATTAGCAAGACTTGCCGCTTGTAAAGAAATTTTCCTCCTGTTCCATTTATGTAAGCTTGACTGTCCTAGAATGAGAAATTTTGTCTACTAACATTTAATTTTAACTTATGACACAAGTACTTGCCGCTATAACTCGGCAGAATTGTCGTTATCGGATTTAGGCAGATTCTTAAGTTAACTTTTCATCATGTGAATGCAAACGCGGCCAACCTTAACCTTCTTTAAGTCGAGTTCCTCAATTATTGAAACTATTAAAACAGGTGCCTACAGCAAAAGTCCGGTTATAATACTCGTAGGGTATACGTGTATCAGCGTAAAGAAGGCTCTCAACAGTCATGTCTACTTGGATGAGGACTTTTCAAGTCCCACAATTTCGCCTCGAAGCAAAATTTCCATGTTATTTGAATGAGGCAAGAAATTTAAAGAGAGGGTGTTCTGTTGGTGATGATGGACATCGCTTTCTACAGATCCAAACAAATAGGACAAAAGCTATTTTACTTTATCTGAGATGACGGTGCTAGGTAAAAGACATTCTCACAGGTAACTTCCGTCTTGTACTTCCTGTCTAAGAAATTCGGCTGAGAAAGCTGGTGGTAATCAGGAGAAGATTCATTTCGCTCTTTTAAAAGTTAATTTACAAATTCGTAAGGGCATTTCATAGTAACTTGTGCCTAAAAATTTCCAAAAACAACAAGTTGTTCCGAAAATGAGATCAATGCAAATGTCGAGCAAACCAGAAAACACATTATATTCAGTTATTAAAATTACTAGTGTGTTAAACAGTCATAGCGTCAAAAAGTCGGCCTGGCTGGGTGCCACCCACCTGTTCTTTCACAAATGCGTCATACACTATTTAGGCTTTCACACAAACAGAAAAATAGGTCCGAAATGCGTACATGCGTGGCTTACGAAACTGAGCTGCTTTTTAGTGTCTGGTGTCTTATTAAGTTTCTTTTAGAAGAGCCAATATCTTATTGCGGTTAGACAGTTTCAATATTATTCCTGTACATCAATAAAGCAAGATAACTAGCATACAACAGTCCTAAAATGTTCATTTTCAAGATGAGAGATGATGGCCAAACTTTGCTATGGTCTCATTTTGACAAGAAAAGTTGCATATGTAACCTGAGGATTTTAGGAACTTAAAAAAACATCAGCATCACCTCCCAAAGTGGCCTGATAGATTCAGTCATAAATTTGTCTACCTAACGAAGTGGAATTGAGTTCTGAGGTTTGTAGGTTAATTGTCTTTTCTAAGGCAAGTCAGGTGAAATTACCTCTGGGGAGGCATTTCATAGGAATATTTTTGGCATTTTGTGTACCAGTATATGAGGACAAAACTTTGCTGAGGGGCCGGGACATTTGGGAAATGATGTAATCTACACTAGAAGCCATTGGGAGCTTGATTTGGTTTGAATGTATGACTAATTTTGGACAATACATACATGTAAAGTAACACAATGCTTAAGGTAGGTTTCTATTTTCATTTAGAGCACAAAGTTCTATTTTCAGTTGGTTGAAAGCAAAACATTTACTATAATTACTGTACTTTGGTTTGACTGTATTTTCAAGAAAGAACAGAAAAATTCAGTTGAAGTAGGTGGATATGGGGTTTTACATGGAAGAATTTAGGGAAAAAAGAAAGGTACATAACAAGATCAGAACACAAGCAATATATTAATGAATCATATGTTGAGTAGTACTCTGAAGTAATGTTACACTAAGACTGCTAATAATTTTTAACCCAATAAGATTTACAATTTGACCTGGAGGTTTTATTTAACAGAAAGTTCAATAGAGATAGAGTGTCACCTTTATGATAATAGATTTCAGGAACTTACAGTAATCAGAGACATAACTTAAACACAACAGAGTTCAATGTACAGGCAAGTGCATGATAGTATCAGGTGATTTTAAGTACCAGAATTTTTCAAGTTTTCTTATTATTCAAACTGTAATTTCATGTCAGTGTGTTTCCAAAATTCAAGCTATGGGGAGACTTGAAATGAATAGGCGAGCTTGACATCATCGTGTAAATGGTCAACTTGACATGCTATCAAAATTTGTCTTTCAGCTGAAATCTTACCCAGAAATACAATTTTGTTCGTGTTTATCCAAGATACATAAAGATATCCAAGCTTTTGTTTATTTTGGTCGGCCACTGTGTATATCAATCAGCACAACCTACTTCGTATAAATCTGATTGGTTTCCAGTGAGATCTATTGTTGCTAAGCCTACCAGTAGTTTACATTTGTACTTGAGTTTTGCACTAGTGATACATGGAAAAGGTACCTGGATGTTGTCAGCCAATCAAGAGTGTAATTTTTCATGTGTATCAGTATTGTGATGAATTAACCAAAACCAACTGAAAAGGAGTTGTAGTCTACTAAATAATCCACACAAAAATCAGTATTAAAAAAGCACTTTTTCAACACATAATTACCTGCTCTATGGCTTGATAAATAGCCAATCGACCATGGCGTTTTTTAAATGCTTGTTTTTGGACATCCGAAACACTCTCCCACCCGAATTTTAAAGATTTTGGGCGGAGCCTTTCATGAGATCTGGCGCAAAGATTTCGGTTTTGGTAACAGGAATGTCACGTTAGAATGCGAAACAGTAGGCAAAACGGATTACGCGTTTCCAATTATCACCAGGTTAAGGTTAGCGCTGTTGTCGATACTCAGTCATAAATGATTCCTCTGCTTTCGGTGTCTACATCAATAGTTTTCGTAGTTGCATTAAATTTTTAATTGATCTGTTTGACCCGATATCTTGCCCTGTTCGATGAGTTTTTCTTTCAGAAAAACAAGTTAGTGCAATTACTTCTTTTTCTCCCTTCTACAGGAGAAGAAACATTCGGCGCAATGTTCGTAAACATTTACGTATTACTTTTGGTGGTGGCGTTCTATGGTCTTCTGTCCTCACCTGGATCAACAAAGGGGGAGCGTTACTATCAGTCTGGCGATATCACACTTGGAGCGCTGATTACATTACATCATACGGAAGAAAATGGCGAATGTGATGATTTTTTCCCCCCGGGACTTGGAGAAGTAGAAGCTATGAAGTTCGCCATAGACAAAATCAACAGGAACCCTCGCCTGCTTCATAACACGACTCTAGGATATGACATACGGGACTATTGTAGAAGCACTGTAAAAGTAATGAGACACACCAACGATTTCGTCCGAAAAAATGAAATGGCGTCCGAATTAAAAAACGCCAGTTGCGTTTGTACAACTATAGATAACAAAACACAGAATAAACCTACTCCAGTGACAGCTGTGATTGGTCCAGCAGATTCGGGGGCTGCGATCTTTGCGGGGAGCCTTCTGCAAGTGGCTGAAATCCCACTTATCAGTCATGCGGCCACAAGCGATGAGTTGAGCTCTCCGCAGTACAGTTACTTTTTACGTACTGCTCCTCCCGATAGAAAGCAAGCAAGGGCAATGGCTGATATTATAGATTATTTCCATTGGAGCTATGTAGCTGCAGTGGCAATGGACGATTCTTACGGTCGAAATGGGGTTCGGAACTTGGAAGCTGAGGGATCCAAAAGGCGAACATTTTGTCTTTCTTTCACGGACTACATACCCAGAAAAAACTACACCACAGAGCTAACAACAATTGCGAAGAAGCTTGGACGCCACTCAAATATCCGTGTTGTGGTGCTTTGGCTATTAAGTGAATATGGACGCCGATTTCTTGAAGAAGCAGCAAAACAGAAAATGTTTGACCGCACCTGGATTTTCAGCGATGGTTTGACGGCTGGATGGGAGGAGTTAATGAAAATGGAAAACGATCAAAGAGGAGTTTTCCATGGGTCACTTGGTATTGATCTTCGACATTTTGATGTTCGACATTTCAAAGATTTCTTGATCAAGGAATCCAACCTATCCTTGAAAGAGGAAAGTACCTCAGCTCCTTGGTGGAAGGAGTTTTGGAGACAAAAAGGTCATTCATCTTCCAATGAAATAGTAATCCGTTCGCTATATAACTCCTACATTCCCTATTTGGTAGATGCGGTTTTTGCTATTGCCCATGCCATTGACAACATGAGTGGAATCCATCCTACAGTTAATCCGAAGAAACTCGAGAAGTATCTTCGACAAGTCGCCTTTAAAGGAGAAACTGGGGAAATCCAATTTGATCAGTTTGGAGATCCTAAAACATCGTCTTATGATGTTGTAAATTTTCAGGGAAACGCAAAATCCGATTTAATAAAATTAGTCATCGGATCGTGGGATAATAGTCGAGAGAAAATTCAGATAAACGTTTCCGGCATTAAGTGGAATGCTGCAGCAGGCCACAAAATTGCTCCGAAGTCATTCTGCCACAGAGATTGCCTTGCTGGTGAATATCAGTTACCAACGACCTCTTGCTGTTGGACTTGCAAGAAATGTCCGGATGGAACCGTTAGCGCTGGAGTAAATGATATGAACTGCACCGTGTGTCCCCGGGGACAAAAGCCAAATGATCAACGGTCAAAATGCTTGGATCTTCCTGAAGTTAAAGTCATGTGGTCAAGCCCCGTGTCTGTCGTTATCGTAGTGTTTGTCACATTTGGATTCGTTCTCCTTGCCATCTGCAGTTTCATTCTTTTCAAATTACGGAACACTCCCCTTGTAAAGTCAGCGAATCGAGAGTTAAGTGCTATTCTTCTTTTGACTATCGCAATGGCCTTTTCTTCCTCCGTTTTAACCCTCAGCAAGCCTACAAGCTTTATGTGCAGTTTGCTTCACTGCTGGAGGCCCATGGTCCTTGTAACAATCATCTCCATACTGATAATAAAGACCATGAAGATACTCAGTGCATTCCAAATAAACGTCATGGCCGAGAGATTCAAAAAATGTATTCTTGTAACAAAGAAACAAACGTTTATCGTACTGGTACTAATCTTTCCAGCAGCTGTATTCTCTTTGCTATGGATTATCTTGGACTCGCCACACGAACGACGGATCATACATACAAATGAAGGTTCAATTCTTCTCTCGTGTTCTTTGTATCAATCGTCCGTCGGAAGGAGTTTCCAAATCGCCATATCTGTCTACACGTCTCTTCTTGCAGCGACTTGTACATACTACGCCTTCAAAGCCAGAACACTTCCTGAGAACTTTAACGAAGCCAGGTACATTGCGTTCTCAATGTACATTTTACTCCTTTCATGTGTAGCATACTTACCTATTGACATCGGCCTTAAGGGTTCCCATGCAATAAACTTGACATGCGCAATGATACTTGTTAGTTCATATGGACTATTAATTTGCATGTTCGGTCCAAAGATTTACGTAATTCTTCTCAAACCTGAACAAAATAATCACCAGGCCGTGGGTTCAGAGGTCTCGAACTACTCATTTCGTGCGTCTTTTAAAGTTACCACAGCAGTGACACCTATGGAACCGAATGCCCCAAACAGCCAGAAAATGTTGCAGCTGGAAATTGCCCCGTCCACTGACTCAACAACCTAAGGTTTTTTTGTGAATTCAAATGTTTTCATGGGAGGGGAAAGAACTTATTTAGGAAGTAGAAAGGGATTGTGAATAAGGAAGAATAGTAGGAAAAAGTTTAAAGAATTAGGAAAATAGGCTTTCGGATACACTCGTACATATGGATATTCCTAAAAAAAACTTGTAAAGAGAACGATGGAGTAAGGCAAATAAATTAGTTCCATGTTACTATAAAATGCAATCATGTGATTCGTATTTTATGCATGGAAAAGGTTTTAGTTATACATTTAGAGTAGTCCAGTTTTGTGGCAGTTTTTGACAAGTATCGAGCGAGAAGCGTTTTTGACAGGTGTTGGAATACTCATTTTGTCCGTATTTTACGGGAAATTGACCAGTGACACTTATGATACTGGATGCCTCCAACTACCAGAAAAATAAATTGTCTCTACCAGTAATTCGACATCTTAAGGTTTTCTAAGACTTCAAATTTTGTCATGGAAAGGGAGAGGACATGTTTAGGGAGTAGAGGGGGACTGGGAAAGAGAATTCGGGGAGAACGGAAGAAAACAAGTTTAAGAATTACGAGATTGAATATTTTTGGAACACTTCTACAAGCAACTGTTCCTGTTTCCAAAGAAGAGATTTTCATAGAGTAAGGAAAACAAACTTGAATTCCATGTCACTATAAGAAGCAACTATGCGAGTTATATTTTACGAAGAGAAATATTTTAGCTATTTATCGAAACCTGTCCAACATTGCTGTAATTTTTGTATTAACCCTTTCACAGCCTAACATCAGTACGCATATATTCCATTCTGTTCTCTATAAATTTCCTAGGATGCTGGCAAGGAATATGTGTTTAACAATCAGCGGCCTCTTTAGTTCATGATCATTTCCGTTATTTTCGTGACTCTAATGTTCGTTTCATGGGTGATATTGCAGGGAGAAGTTGGATGCTATTTACTATTAGGAGTTTAATTGTTAAATGCGCTCTGCAATTGGACTAGAAAAGGCATTGCCACCCTTTCTACTTATCAAACGCAGAATTCAATCAAATGTAACGTGGTCACTCGCCTTTTACCGAGCTTCAAGCAGTTTGATAGTTTCACTTCTCATTATGTATAGCCGTTGTGATAAGTCTGTTATTTCTTTGTTTTTCAATATTCAATCGAAAGACACTGTAACGCAAAGTTTAATCGACTCTTTGAAGACTGGCAAGATCATTCAAGATCACTTGATAATAAAGGTTCAAGTTGAGAATCTAAAAGTTTACATCACGCACCAACATCCCCAGAACATGGGAATTATTCGAAATTTTTATCATAGCAGGGTCTAAAAAGCTTGTAAAATAGCGATGGTTAATTATTTACATCCACAATAAATCGAATGGTCGAGAACCAATCAGATTACAAGAGTCACCAGTGATTGCAAAATAAATGTGACATTCCAAGTCCATTTCAATTTAGTAAATGTTAAAACACCCGTGTAAAGACAATAAACATTGCAACGATCGATACAATCACAGTGGCGCCAGGACTTCGGACTTCTTCGGAAGGATAGAGCTCGAGTTCGAAGCCGACTAATTACGACAAATTACGAAGAGTCCACGCAATTTGCATATCCCAAAGCGCCTATCGCGTACCCCCGAATTAAAAAGGAATAAAGAATTCTTAATATTCATTATCATTTTTTGCTAAACTTAATGTGGTACTAAGAACACTTTAACAAAAGGGAAACAAATTAGGAGTTAAAGGTAAGAAACTAGTTGTTAATTTGATCTCAATGAATTGCAAAGGTAGTTGTCAAGCCCCACGGTATCAAAGAAATTTTCCTTTTGTTTCAGTTAAGTAACTCTGACGGTACATGAACGGGAAACTTTGTCCATTGAATTATAAGTTGTAACTTCTGACACAAGTACATGCCGCTATAACCTGGTAGAACTGTCGTTTTTGGATTTAAGAAGATTCGAAGGTTAAATTTTAATTTGTCCATGCAAACTCAACCTCACAAAAACTTTTCTAAGTCGATTTCTACAACCACTGAAACTAGAATAACAGGTGCATATTGCAAAAGTCCGCTTCAACCGGTTTAAACAAATATCTGCACACAAAAAGACCTCAAAAATGGCGATGGAATTAAAACGTTATCGTGGCGAAAAATACTGAATCGCCATATAAAGAAATTAAATGGTTGACATGACATGTAATGGTAAATTAAATATGAAAAACTTGTTTATGAATTAAATTCCAATTGTAAAAGAGTGCTAGTTCAACGAAACGGTAGAAGCTGTGAGATCGCATAGCTCAGGTAGAGCTTTTTTTCTAAATGGTAGTCAAAACTCGATAAAAATGTGCTCTAACCATGGACAAGACTGAGTTTAACACATATACCCGGAAAAGAAGACCTAATTCTTCACCTGCCCTTCTGCCCTCCTACCTACGATTGACGATTCATCGATGGATATTTTAAACCCTTTCTTTGTTTTGAAGAGAAGGTATCAACCGATTGAACAGAATATTTTTACAAAAATCGGCAATATATTATGGCGAAAAAGTAATCGCCATGTCATGAGAATTTCAATATAAAACACTCATTTATGACAACTTGATTCGAATTGTGAAGTGTTTGTTTAACGAAAACGGCGAGAATTGCCACAGGGGGCTTTTCAAAATTTACTTGTCAAAACTCATCAAAGCGGCCTTTCTTTTATGTCAGTGACGTTCGTTTAATAGCCGCTGTCAAGGGAAAGGAAAAATTAAGTCTATTCATGTTCATTATCATTTTATTCTTACTTGTATGTGGCACTAAGAACACTTTAACGAACGGAACACAGTTTGGAAGGTATAAGAAAGAAACGAGTTGTTAATTAGCGAGATCTCAGATGTAAGAAGAGTTGTCAAGACCTCTTTGAAAGAAATTTTCCTTCAGTTTCATTTATGCAAGTCTAGCTGCACTAGAATAAGAAAGTTGGTGTCTGAAATTTAGTAAAATCTTGTGACACAAGTACATACCACACTAGCCCAGCAGAACTACCGTATTAGGTTTTAAAACAATCCTTGCGGAAACTCTACCTCGCATGAATGCAAACAAATAGGACAAAACGCTATTTTACCATATCTGAGATGACAGTGCTAGATAAAAGACATTCTCAGAYAGGTAACTTGCGTCTTGTATTTTCTGTCCAAGAAGTTCGGCTGGAAAAAGTTGATGGTAATCAGGCGAATTTTCATTTTACACTTTTAACACTTAAATTACAAATTCGTAAATGGTATTTCAAAAGTAGCCTATGCATAAAACATACAAAGAATAAAAAGTTGTTCCGTAGAAAAATGCAATTTTCGAGCAAACCACAAAATCCTATTCCGTTGTTTAAAATACTAGTGTGTTGAACAGCCATAGCTTCAAAATATCACTAAGCTTTCGAATCTTCCACTGGGTATTTCGCACCTGTATAGTTAATGATGCGTCATAAGCTATTTAGCCCCTCACCACACAAGTAGGAAAATCAGTATAAAAACCGCATATTTTCAACAATTTTACCGTTCCCTTAGATCTGATAACACTTAATTACCTGCTCTATTGCTTGATAAATAGCCAATGACGATTGGCGTTTTTGGAATGCATGTTTTTAGAATGCGTGCTCTCAGACATTCAAAACACTCTACCGAGTCGAAGTGAAAACATTTTCTCGCTCTCTCATGAGATCTCGCGCAAAAATTCCAGGTTTGATAGCAGAAATGCCACGTTAGAATGCAAAACAGTAGACGTAAAGGATTACACGTGTCCAATTACCACAAGGTTGATGTTAACGCTGTAGTCGATACTCAGTCATATATGATTCTTCTACTTTCGATGTGTACATCAATAGTTTTCGCCGTTGCATTAAATATTCAGTTGATCTGTTTGACCCGATATGTTGCCTTGTTCGATGAATTTTTTTCAGATGACAAGTTAGTCCAATTACTTCTTTTTCTCTTTTAAACAGAAGATACATTCTGTGCAATGTTCGTAAACAATTACTTATTACTTTTGGTGGTGGTTCCCTATGGTTTTGTGTCCTTGCTAGGATCGACAGAGGAAGACCGTTATCATCAATCTGGCAATATCACACTTGGAGCGCTGTTTACACTACATCACACGAATGAAGATGGCGACTGCGACGATTTTTTCCCCCCGGGACTTGGAGAAGTAGAAGCTATTGAAGTTCGCCATCAACACAATCAACAGAAACCCACAGTTGCTTGAAAACACGACTCTAGGATATGACATACGGGACTATTGTAGAAGCACTGTAGAAGTAATGAAACACACCAACGATTTCGTCCGGAAAAATGAAATGGCTTCCGAATTAAAAAAGGCCAGTCGTGTTTGTACAACTAAAGATAACACAACACAGAGTAAACCTACACCAGTCACAGCTGTGATTGGTCCAGCGGATTCAGGGGCTGCGATCTTTGCGGGTAGCCTTCTGCAGGTGGCTGAAGTCCCACTCATCAGTTACTCGGCAACAAGCGATGAGTTGAGCTCCACACAGTACGGTTACTTTTTTCGCACAGCTCCTCCAGATAGAAAGCAGGCGAGTGCAATGGCTGATATAATAAATTATTTCAGGTGGAGCTACGTGGCTGCTGTGGCAATGGACGATCCTACGGTCGAAATGGGGTTCGGAACTTGAAAGCTGAGGCAGCCTAACACCAAACATTTTGCCTTTCTTTCACGAACTACATACCCAGAAAAAATTACACAACAGAGCTAACAACACTATTGCTTAAATAGTGCTTTACTGCGAAGGATCGTGCACATATACGTTTCATAACCTCAGTTCATATATGTGTATTTGATATGTTTGTTGTTAGAGCTAACAACAATTGTGAGGAAGCTTGGACCCCACTCAAATGTTCGTGTTGTGGTGCTCTGGCTGTTGAGAGGATATGGAAGGCGATTTCTTGAGGAGGCTGCAAAACAGAAAATGTTCGACTGCACCTGGATTTTCAGTGATATTTTAACGGCTGGAAGCGAG